AGATCGCGTCACTGCACTCCAGCCTGGGCGACAGAGCAAGACTCCGTCTCACAAAAAAAAAAAGACTCTCAAGTCCCCACTTAGAACCTATTTACTAAGAACATTTTTTACGTAGTTTCCCAGCCCATAGATATCAGAAGCCACGCTAGAAGCTCACATGTTATAACAACATGGAAAAGGGACAGGCTTGAGACCCAGTCACATGGAAAAAGCAGCCCTAAATATTCAAAAGGGAGATGAATCCGAATGATTTGGTGTGAAGGTAAGGAATGCAGCCCGAGTTTCACAGTGCATAAGCTAATGTGCACACACATGATCCTTTGTCACCAAGAAGATCATGTACCAAGAAGATCTGGCACCAACCGCTGCCAGACCCAAGGGAAGGGAATATTTAATATACTTTCCAGGTATTTCCCTTAAGAACAATTTTAAATTTTAGTGCTTAAAGGCTTTGACAGACAGCCTAGCTGGAAAAAAATTATAAAATTTCCAGTATTCTGATAACAGTAGCTAAATAAAATGTTACTGTTATGAGATAACTGGAGGAGAGAGAAATTAACATTTATCTTCCTAAGGAAGTGTTATGGTGTCAGGGACGATAATGATGCAGAGTCTTTCATATGCTGGCTCAAAAATTTCTTGTATGATAATTTAAAAATGTCAAAATCGAGTTATTAAAATTGCTACATATTTTCACTATTTTCCTTGAATAAATTAATATGTTCTCAAATAAGCAAATTTATTGTCATATACAAGCATAGTTCACAATACATTTATACCACTTATAAAAAATATTTCTAGAACATTATAGGGAGTGAATATGGAATATAAGTTTTAAAATATATAATGAAAGTCACCTCTTGATTCTGTCAAAATATCACTATAATGAATTGTCTAACATTTGGAGGTAATATCAAAATATTAAATTTGAGAATCTTGATGAATCTGAGGACCCGGGACAGAAAGTGACTCTCCAGTACCACTCCCCATTTCCATGATGGCGTCATTACTTCTGTTTTCTCATATAAACTTACCACAGAGTTATTATCGTTTTTATTTTATACATGAGGAAACTGGAGTCAATCATTTGTGCAAAACAGCAGCCATTTGGTAGCAGTACCGTGATTCAGATCCTCTGGCCTCCAAAACCCCTGCTGCCTTTCTGAGCACATTCAGTGGAAGCAATCCGGGTGGCCCGTTATGGTGTCAGACCTGAAGAGTGTTCTCATGAAAAACTCTACATGAAACTTCAGATAGAGTAGCTAGACTGTGGTCAGTGCGTAAAAAACAGTGTGAACATTCATGTTCCAGTGCACAAGACAGTATCCTCCTATTACAAAGATGTTCATGAAGGCAAATTAATTCTTGGAAGATGATTTCAACTCATTTAAAATTGTAAAAGGATAAATTTTACATAAGATGCATAAACTGTGAGAAAACAAACTATATCACAAATCTCTTTACTAAATTTCCAGTTAAGAAGAGACACTGCCAGCACACACTGTTTAAGTTGCAGATGTGGTTTCCTTCCTCTTTGTGTAATACCCACCACTGTCTCTCAACACACCACACAAAACACACAAATAGTGCCTTCCCTCTGAGAGTTCTCAGAAAATGCCTGTGGAATGAATGGACAGATGGATGAATGACAAGGGAGAAATATGTTCATGTTTTGAAGATACATATAATCTCTTCTGGGTGACAAAGGATCGTGTGTGTGCACATTAGCTTATGTGCTGTGAAACTCGGGGGCTGCATTCCTTACCTTTACACTAAATCATTCAGATTCATCTCCCTTCTGAATATTTAGGGCTGCCTTTTCCATGTGGCCGGGTCTCAAGCCTGTCTCTTTTTCATGTTGTTATAATATGCGTACTTCTAGCATGTGACAATAGACGCTATATATAAGTTAAAACTATGCAGACTGGGATGCTAAACATTCCCAAAGCTACCTAAAAAAAACTTCAACTAGAATCTGTTTATTGCAAAGCTATCTTCAAAACATGAACATATTTCTCCCTTGTCATTCATCCATCTGTCCATTCATTCCATGGGCTTTTTCTGAGAACTCTCAGAGGGAAGGTAACTATGTGTATGTCTTTGTGCAGTGTGTTGAGAGACAGTGGTGGGTATTAGAAACAAAGAGGAAAGAAACCACATCTGCAACTTAAAGCCATCTTACTTCTAAGCCCAATCCATTGCTAAGACTTATTTCCTCCCTATAAATGCTTCTTGGATTTGCCCCTTTCGATCCATTTCTTTCTATCTCGTTTTATGTATACACTGTTCATTTTCATTACAGTCTACAACATTGTTACATTGTAATCAAGTTCTAAGTTATGTGACTTTGACAATCATCTAACTTGAAAAGGAGGCCTCACTTTGCTTTATATGTAAAAGGAGGGAAATAAAATTTACTGCTTAAAAGCTAATGATTTTCCAGGCTGGTCTCGAACTCCTGACCTCAAGTAATCCACCCACCCTGGCCTCCCAAAGTGCTGGGATCACAGGCGTGAGCAACCCCGTCTCTACTAGAAATACAAAAATTAGCCAGATGTAGTGGCACGGGTCTATAGTCCCTGCTACTCTGGATGCTGAGGCAAGAGAATTGCTTGAACCCAGGAGGCAGAGGTTGCAGTGAGCCGATATCATGCCAATGCACTCCAGCCTGGGCAACAAAGCGAGACTCTGTCTCCAAAAAATAAAAATAAAATAAAATAAAAGTAAGAGTTTTCAATCCTTGGATCTAAGATTTTATACAGTTGCTTCTAATGCAATATAAACATTAAAATTTACAGGTGAGTTCTATATTCTATTCTTATTTCTTTCTTAGCTCTCTGAAATTAGATTTTAGATCTGTGGTATTTGTGAGAGGATCAATACTCTTTCTCCTTATTAAAATCTTTAGGCTATTATTAGGTGTCTAATTTGCCATATTACTTATATCTCTGATTCACTTACTTCCATGCAGTCATCAAATTCATCCTCGATATTACCAGAGTGAGCCAGAGCAACTCTGACCTATTACTATCCTGATTAAAACACATCAAAGGCTGCTCATTCATTGTAAACAATGCCTAAATTCCTTAGTATAATTCTTCCCAATGTGGTCTATGTTCACTTTTTCAATCTTATTTCCCAATGCACCACCATGCACTCTCCAGTTAACACCAAATTGCTTGCATCTCATTAATTCATTACACTCATTCTGCAAGTATTTCTGAGCATAAATTATATATTAGCCACTATGCCAATAAGCACAGGGAATCCTGAAGTGAACAAAACAAATATGGGCCACCTTCACAGCCTTGACAGTCCCGCTTAAAAGGGTTTCATACTGTCTGTAGCATCCTCTGGCCCCTGAAATGCCGAAGAACACAATATAACTTTCACAGCTCAGCTCAAGGCTCAATTCCCCCATTAAATCCTTTCTGACCAACCCTCACCATTGCACCTCATACACACTACCATCTAAGCACATTTAGCCCTTTATTATAACACTGTGTTTACTAGTCTATTGCACCAAAATGGCACACAGGCAACAGCCATCTCTTAGTCATCTTTGAAATGAATGAAAGTACACAGAAATAAAGACTATGAAGATCATGGCATAACATACTTAATAAATACTGTACTTAATAAATATCTGTCTTCAAATGAAAGGCTGAAAGAATATATTTTATTCTTATCAAAAAAATCTTTTTCCTGTTATCTTCAAGTTATTCTCCAGACTATAAGTCCCTTAAAGTCAGGGGTCATATATTTTTGGTCCTGTTCTGTACACATATTAATGACAAAATATTTATTGAATACATTCTCTAGATCTACAATTCATAGCTATTAGACCACGGTAAGAATGTCACAATACTTAATAAACTGAAACCAACAATAATCAGATTAATAAGGCTATAAAAAGTATAGGCATGTGTGGTATTAAATCCATTTTATGAAGGTCTGATTTCAGTGATACTGCCAATTCACTAAAACTATAGGTAGAAAAACAATCACAAAACCTTAGAATTGTTTATTCTTACAACAACCAAGAAGCTGTAGATCTAGATAATGTAAAAAAGAATTCCACAATTTAGAAAATGCTGTTGGTTCCTATAGTACATAATAACAATAATATCAACAATAATAATAGCAAACACATACAGCATTTTCTGCTTGCCAAGAACAGTTCTAAGTATTTTGCATGTACTAACTTATTTAACGCTCATTTCAACCCTAAGAGATACCCTCATTACACAGATAAGCAAAATTAGGCACATACAGGTAAATTAATTTGCCCAAGATCATTCAGATAATAAATAACTGAATTTGAACCTAGGAAGTCTGGTTCCAGAGTCTTTGCTATTAACCTGAGTATTATTCTCATTCTTTATTGTTAGTGGCCATCCAGACCCTATACAAATACATGCCATCCTAAACATATGTGGTAAATTTCAGGAGTCCTTGACTTTTTGTTACTTATGACTTCCATTTTATATCTGAAGTGCAAAAACATAGTATGTATATGTGAGACAATCCAGAGAGGGCGCTGAGAGTAAGATCAGGGAAAAAGCGTAATTATTTTGCAGTGCATAAAGAAATTATATAACAGCTATTAGACATACTGTAATAATACCCCCCAAAATTCAAGAGCTACGAGGAAAAAGTTCTGTCACCTGTCAGCCCACCACCAACTAGATCAGTCACAAAGATCAACAAACATTATTACAAGTAGTAAACAGGAAAAGCCACCTAGGGCATTGGCGCCATGTATAGGACTTCTGAAAGCACTGCAATACATTTCATCTGTAGTTCTAAAATGTATAACAGAAAGCAGAGTTCATAGCTTTGGTAGTTTTCATAAAAACTCTTCTTTAAAATAATCCTTATTTAGCTGTCACCACTTCATTCCAAACAATATTAAGTGTGTGGGTTCAAACCACGAGTTTGAAAATGTAATTTGTAAAAAGTGGTTAGAAACAGAATTATACCCTATCAAATAAACCTACCATAAAGGGCCTTCGCACTTGTTTTTGAACCATGTTCTCTGTCCATCTGGGAAAAGGTAGGTGATGATCCGTAGCCACTGTAATAATTTAAAAAAAAAAAAAGGTCATTGTGTTGGGTTAGAGTCCAATATAAGTAATAGAAGCTCAACTAGAAAACAAAAATTCCAATGCACTATAATCACCATGTGTTTAAAAGAACATACTGATGGCTGGGTACGGTGGCTCACTCCTGTAATCCCGCACTTTGGGAGGCCGAAGCGGGCAGATCACCCAAGGTCAGGAGTTCATGACCAACCTGACCAACATGGAGAAGCCCGGACTCTACTGTAAATACAGAATTAGCTGGGAGTGGTGGCGCATGCCTGTACTTCCAGCTACTTGGGAGGCTGAAGCAGAAGAATCGCTTGAACCCGGGAGGTGGAAGTTGCAGTGAGCCGAGATGGTGCCACTGCACTGCAGCCTGCGACAGAGCAAGACTCTGTCTCAAAAACAAAAAAAGAAAAAAAATTAGCTAGGCATGGTGGCAGGCACCTGTAATCCCAGCTGTGCAGGAGGCTATCTAACCTCTTGTTACTAATATGCTATGTGAAATAAATAGTGCTTTATTTGAATTTTATTCATCTTTTCAGTAAACATTTTTTTAAGACCCCAAACCTAGAAGAATGAGGAGTATGGGAGGGGGAAACAGGGTGCTGTCAATAAAACAAGTACATAAAATAATTATAATAGAATGTGATATCTGGGTAAAACTAATAGATATGACATGTATATTCAAAGAAGGGCTAACTCTTTATCAACATATCTAAGAAAACTTTACTACCGTATTGATACAAGCAGAATCTAAATGAATGGAAAGAAGCTCTATAAACAGGCAGAGAATCAAGTGAGGAAAAGGTATGTGGAACTGACTCAAGAAATAGCACAGTGTCTGTGGAAAGATGCCGTTAATGTAACATTTCCAGAATAGACAAATGACTGGAGAAGCCATGGCAAATTGAGGGCTTTCAGCATCATGATTCAGAATTACATTTATTATATTCTCTCGAAATAGTAAATATTACCAGTTATGAAAAAATGATGAGTAAAATATATATCACAATGGCCGATGTCAAACAGTAACATTAATTGTAATATATAAGATTAAGTCAGGGTTATGATTTCAAGTTATACCCGGACCCACTGGAATTATTTTCTTAGTTTGCCTGATCTTTTCTAGTTTTACGCAATGGTAAAAAATTTGATTAGTTTATACTAAATGACATTTAACCCTTCTCAAATGCCAATATTTTACAAATAACAATAACAGAATGCACCACAGAAATTCAAAGTTTTGAAATAGATTATATATTCCTCCATGAAAAGCAATAATACGTAAAGTACTAGAATGAAACATCTTCCAAGTGTGAGATCAGTATCATTATCATGAGGCTATTTGCTTTACCATCTTATTCTGATCAGACATAGTAAACTTTCAATGATAACATGTATTGTAACAAAGCTATTACATATTAATAAGGAATGAACTACTGAACTACACAAAATAAAAGTAATCTTTTCACTAAAAATATAAAACAATTAAAATCACCAAATCAAATCCCCCCAGAACATATTAAATATAAACCTTTCAACTTACTTCATCTGAGATGGGTACATTCCAAAACTACTGGGATGATTAGAAATATGACCATTCATTGTGTCTTTCACTCGTGTGTTCTAAAAAAAGGAAGACACATAGATTAAAGGCAATAAAAAGGTCAAGACATCTCAGTTTCAAAACTTATTCATTCAACAAATATGTGTTGCTGCAGGAATTATAGTAGAAATACAAAGATAAAGATCCCCACCCTCAAAGAGCTCAGGCCCCAGAGGTATAGATGAACTTTTAAACAAAGATCCAACCGGCATTTAAAATTAATATGTTAAAATTGTAAGCAAATTTAGGTGAACAAAAGAAAAATCTAAAATATAGTTCTGAGTCCTCAAAGCATACAAACATAATTCTACATTCTGCCCAAACTCATAATCAACTATCACTTTTATGAGATGTTATTTTGTTTACTGTTCCATTATAAAAGTAATAGAAACTCATTTAATTTTAAAAGTTGAGAAATACAGAAAAGTATAAAAGCAAAAAGTATCACCCAGAGTCCTATCATTAACAGACAACCAGGTAAGTTACCTTGCAGTCTTTTTGCCTACAAGTGGTTTTCTTTCCTCCCTTCCTTCTTTTATTTCTTCTTTCCTTCAAAGCACATTTGACAACATGTGCTTTGTCAAACGCACAAATGCACATGGATATATCTTTTCTCAAGAAAGTTTTCATTCACATGCTTCTTTTACTTTTCACAAGAAAATAACTTTAAAAATCAATACCAGATGTTTAACCTCAAAAATCATTTTTAAATCTATTTTACAGATTGAACAAACTTACTTCAAACAAGACAAATAATGAGTAAAATTTCCTCATTATCAAATGGAATGGCCTTTTCTTTCTTCTCGACAACATTGCTGTACCCAATTTATTTCTATTCACTCCTGGATATTTGGTCCTGTCCGGGTTTTGTGTCACTAAGCTATCCTGGATTCTGTCTTATTTTTCTGACTTTTGTCTTTTCAAATATATTATATTACTATGTCCTCTCAATAACTGTGAATTAGGCAGGACACAACCCAGCTTTGTGGGCCAAGGGGGTGAAAGCATGAACAAATACTGATTATGAAGTTTCAGGTCCTGCGATGGATATTAGGACCACCAAAGTGAACCAAACGGACATGGTCCCAACTATAGGCCTACAGTCTAGTGGGGGGAAACAGATAATGAATAAATATAAAATTTTCAGTTGTACTTATTAATATTATTACAAAGGGAACATTCATCATAACATGGATGCATATAATAAGGGAACTTAACTCAGATTGGAAGAGCATAGAAAGCCTACATAAAGAAATAATATGCAAGATCTGGTCACTTTGAGTTAATTCTTTCTCATTCTTCAGGTCTCACTTCAATCACAGTGTCCTCAGGGGAAGATTTTACTGACCTTCCTGAATAGATAAGATCCCACTATCAGACACTCTCCACACTATAAACAATTTTTCAAAGCATTTATCACATTCATAACTTTTCCTTTACTTAAATTAATACTTGACTCTTCACTAAACTCTTAGCCCCCAAAAGGCATGAATTTTTGTTTGATGACTTCTGCTTTTCAAACAAGAAGAAGGGTACCAGGCACAGAATAGGTGTTCATTAAATATTTATTCAAAGAAAGAAAGAAGGAAATTCACGTTCCACTCTTCAAAGAGTTTATTGTGTTCTTAGGGAAACAACGTTAATTCACGTAAAACAAATAGTAAGGAATTAAGTCCCAATGTATGTAGCTCTATTTTAAATCTGTTAGAAGTTCGGAGAGGGAAAAGGCCATGAAGACTGTCTTTACTTTCTGGAAGGACTGGGACTTGACCTAGTTCTTTAAAAATGGATAAGAATGGCCCTCAAAACACTGGAATTTAATTCAAGCTTCCCTATCCACTGCTTAAAAGCAAGTTTATAAATTAAGAAGCAAAGAAAGATTGGCTTCTGCCCTGTACATGCACTGTACTTATAAAATTACACGTATGTTACATTGCTGTGCTCCATTTTTGTTGTCTTCCTTCTTCAGTTTATGCTTAGATACCATCAGTGGTGTGCTGGTAAACCAATTCTCAGGGTGGGACAAGGCAGAGGGCCTGATTTGTAGTGCTTATTGATTTCCATGGTATAAATATTCCCACCATGGCCAATTTCAAGCAGTCAGTGGTTTAACAGCAGCTTACGAAATTCCTAAATCCTTCACAATTGGCTCTCATAAGCCGAAAGGATCCAACTACAGCACATCATTGCTACGTTCTATAATTTGGGCCAGAACAGAGGCCTGGAATAACATTGTGGAACTAGAGATAGTTTGGAATTTTAACAATATTCCTGGCACTAATTGGGCTAGGAAAGTCAATTAAGCCTCTGTCTCAATGTTCTCGTGAGTAAAACAGAGATAATTCTTCGTCTTCTGAGCTCACAGTGCTAGTGTAAAGATGAAAGGAGACAGATGTGCAAGTTCCTTCCAAAACTGAAAAAAAGGAAGTGTTCTTTCAAAGCAAGCTGCTTCATTCAGTATATAAATTAAACCCCCAGGGTTTGTGCTGATTTTGATCTGGTTTGCATTTTAAAACCACAGCAGCTGGTTTTAATGAAAAGTGATAGCCACAGCATCTCATCTTTTCATGTTTAATTGTTCAAGACAATCAAATAAATGCATGGTCTCTGTTTTGTTTCAAAATAGTGATCTGTTAGAATAAGAGAACATTAGAAAAGGGGATAGAAAATGTCAATTTGCTAAATTGAATTTTAAATATAGAAACATTTTGTCATTTGGCAATCACAGGTTCACTTATCACGGTGGCTTATGCGGTAAATATGGAGGCTTTCAAATGTCCAATGTGAGCAATTGCAGTGTATACCATGCAAAAGAAACAATCACAAATGTTTGTCTTTTTTTCCATTAGGCTTTTAAGACATATCCAGTTTATACCCATATACGCCATATACACAATTGAAAATAATGATCAACTCTAACTGAAAAATTAAGTGTCTATTTTTATACACTGTTAAAGCAACCTAAAAACTAAGGAGATAAAGGTTTTTTTTTTTTTTATCACTTTTAAGTTCAAAGATTCACAAATGCAGTTAATCACACTACATAATTCTACTGAAAGTATACACTAACGCCATCATCATAGCTACCATCTACAGTTGGCTCTTGAACATCAGAAGGTGGGACTGCAGAGTCCACTTATAAGCAAATTTTCCTCCACTTCTGCTGTCCTGAGACAGCAAAATCGACCCCTCCACTTCCTCTCCCTCAGTCTACTCAACATGAAGACAACAAGGATGAAGACCTTCATGATGATCCACTTCTAGCTCATGAATAGTGAACATATTTTCTCTTCCTTAAGATTTTATTTTCTCCAGCTTACTTTATTTTAGAATATATAATACATATACAAAATATGTTAATCACTGTTTACATTATCTTAGGTAGACAGTAGGCTATTAGTATACGTTTTAGAGGAGTCGAAGTTATACACAGATTTTCGACTGAGTGGGGGTCAGCACCCCTAATTCCTGTGTTTGCTCAAGGGTCAGCTATATTTGATTTTAAGTAACAGCATCAATTTCCTTATGAAAACACTTTTAGTAAGTCGTAGTTACTATGATTTTATCTTTATTTTCTACAGAAAATAAAATTCTTTGGCAATTAGAAGGATACAAATGATACATTTAAGATCTAAGTTAAGCACATCAAAAACGTAACACACTATAATTTTCAAAAAGAAAGGAGGTAGAATGTATAAAAAATGACTTTAAGAAGAAATAAGGCTATAAGGCTAACTCAGCAAATTAAATTTGTATTAGAAAGTTTTAAGATTCTCAAATATAAGTTTTAGATTCCTTTTCTTTACTCTTGCTTGCATCTAGTATCAATTTTCAAATTGGCAGATGAGTATATAGTCATGACTCAATGTTAAAACTACCTACCCCATCTTGCTGTCATGTAATTAGTAACTCTCTGCATATTTAACTGCCCTTCAAATGACTTGTGTTCTCAGAAAATATCACAGATGTTTTTTATCTACAGAAGTGTGTTTGGATATGACATTGAAACATTTATGTCTAGGTTTCAATTTAATTTAATTGATGTCTCCCAGTCTAAGTCACAAGCAAGTGGGAGGGGGCACTATCATTACTCAGGATTTTAACTAAAAGATCAGTGAAACTTAATTTCTACCAATACTTTGTGACACTGTCTACCAATGATTTTGCTTAAAACATACTTTAAAAAATCTTCTTTAAACCTCTTAAAGCATCACACATTCTGTCTCCTGCAGTGTCTTCTAGAGCAATCACGTTTTAATATCTCTTACCAGTACCATTGGTAAAGATGGCACCATGTATTTTTCTATGCTATTTGTTCAAACATCGAGTAACAAAGAATTTTTATGTGTGAATAAACTCAAATAACTAATAAGGATATTAAGCTCTTGTAACAATAATGTGGTTAATGCCTGTGAAGGTATTACAATAATTTCTAGGCCATATAGAAGAATAGTATTTTCTCAAGACCAGTATCAGTGTAAATGGAGCAGTTTTATGCCTTTAAATCAACACAATAAAATCACTTAAAACAGTTAACTTAGTTCCTCTTTCTTTATGACAAAATTCTTAAGTTTATAAATTAGAACATAATTTTGGGAAAAGTCTATGATCAAATCAGAATGTTGTTTGCTTAACAAGTGGCTGAAGAAAACTACTTATAACAAAATGTAATATGCAACTTTAGAAAGAACTACTTTAGCACTAATTATGTTTGCTATTGTGATGGATTTCATAGGAAGGCCTAACACAGAAAAGAGCCATAGACATATCCGAATACTACTATTGTATTTCCCTCCAATTCTTGTCTATTCCCTGAGTTGCTATGATGACATCATCAGCACACGTGTACTATTGGATGCTATACTATACGTGGAAATTACTAATATCTCAGTTCAAAATATTGTTGATATTTTACCGACTTGGGAAACTATGCTAATTTTAAAAAGAATCACTTCTATTTATTGAGTTTTAACCCTGCATCGGGTATCATGCTAAATGCATTCTATTGTCTTACTTAATC